GATCTTGTCCTAGTGAGAACAGTCAGTGATTCGTTGTCCTCTGCAGCTGTAGTCAGGGGCAGGGTCCCCAAAAAGCTAGAAACGGCCCTGGTCAGTGGGCTCAAGGAAACTCTCTCTGGCATCTGGAGGGAAGGAAACTCTTGGATCAATGTGGTACAATCAGCAGACACACGTTGTCCTCTGGACAGTAGAAATCCCCCAAAACTGCAGTTCCTCTTCACACCACTGTTGCCTTGACAACGAGGCACAAGCAAAATGTCAAAACCTCCTCAGAGATGCGTTCTTTGCACACTTCTTCTGTTTCTGTAGTGAGCAACATCTCACCAACACACTGATTCAGAGTCCAACCCAAAGGCGGCGCACAACTATCCAGTGCTGCTGTAATCACAGCCAATCAGCTACTAGAGAAACACTCAATTTAAATCTCTCCCCCAGCGGGTTACTAAATGAAATGGCTGAGTGTCTATATGGTGAGGAATGCTGAAACATGTGAATGTTAAAGGGGACCTGTCATGCAAAATGCACTTTTGTATGTCTTGTATACATGAATATGTGTCCCCGGTGTTCCAGGGAACTCACCAAGTGTCAGAAAACACAACCCTCTCTATTTTCCTCCATACCCTGAAAAAAAAAAGTATAAATATGCCTTATATAGGTATGGTCCTACACTATATTATTATAATATAGCATGATAGGTCCACTTTAAGACAAACTAATGGTAGTAGAAGTATCCAGATTCTTTACTTCAGTAAAAGTAGTACAACTACATTGTAACATCTCTTGTCTAGTTGACGTCCTGCTTTTAAATTCTAGTCAGGAAAATAAAATAAACATCATCTTTAAAATCTTCTTAAATTAGAAACCAAAAAGGTCTTCCTTCTCCACCGTGATCCATTTCAACATCAAAGTTCATAAAACTGAACATTTATCTTTAAAACCATGAGGAATAACAGTTCTCATAAAACACTATTCTCCTTTCCTTCAGTTCTAAGTCAGATGAGCAAAACAAGGAAACCCTCCTTAACCTCTATAGACTCATCTTTTATCTTCTTGCTTATTCTATTCATTTTCAAATTGTTTATCTAAGTTCTGTTACAAGCAGGGTTAGGTTAACAGAATACAAAACTAACTGTATTCAGCGCTATATTTGAAAACCCAAGTAATCTAATTACAGTTAATGAATATATTTTTGGAACACTTAAAGGAATTCTTGGTGGAAAGGTTTCCTCACAAAATGTAATCTTCATCACTAAAGCTAAAACCTACAGAAATCATCACGGAACAGTTTTCTTTCCTTATAACTCAATTGTTTCAATAAAAACAAAGAAGGCATTGTGAAAACTCCCACTCTGAGAACATCTCAACACTTTATTCCATCTAAGCACGAATGTTTATGACAGACACGCCATATATTCCAAGAATAAATATCTCTGGGCCTAAAGAACAATCCATTAATCCAAAACGGTCTTTAGTGATATCAATTGTGAACTTTCTTAACATTATTTGTAAATTCAACGTATGTTCTCTCTAGAACAGAGATAGGATAGTTGCAGCTGAAACTGGTTAATAGCACTTTTCTGTTAACCTAGATAAGCATGTTGTTCTTATATCTAGTAATATATATATATTTTATTTTATGTTACTCATAAAACAGTAAACCATAGGAACATTTTCCAGAATAGTAGTTAACTTTATATAACATTACTCTCTCTAGACTCTTCAACACATCTTAATTACTTCTCCTGTCTCTCTCTTTCCTCACTGTGCCCTGCAGCTGCTCTCATCACTCACACTTGACCTCTTGTGTTATCCAACAGTGTGAGACGCCTCGAGCAAGCATCGTACAGCACCTCTGTCATGCTTAAACATGAACAGATTCCTTCTGACTAACACACTTATAAAACCTCCTGTTTACTACTTACTACTCTTTCTTCATAAACTTAAAAATACAATTGTGGTGAATCGTTTGCGTTTTCAGTTTCCTATCTACTTTAAATGAGAGTCACTATTGTATGATAAATACAACTCCTAAATAACATTACTATATATATTTCTTAAAGTGAGTTTGTTATTTAATGTTTAACAAATTCTCCTCTTTCTATGTCTTATACTAGGTGGAAAAATCCACTATTATATTTAATTTGAATAAAACCTTTATCTTAATGTACTTCATATACTCAGTAAACCTCTTTGTACTTTCCCTTAACGTTACTGTATGTAATTAAGTTCCTTTGAAATATAATTAAGTACAATTCTTAGTCAAATGACAAATACCATGAAATTCACAATGCAATGCAAAGGTAACAATCAGTTCTCAAAGACTATGTTTAAATAGCAACAAATCATTGTGTCTTATTTATTTCAATATATCTACTACTTCAAATCACACGTTGATCTATTGATTTTCAATGTATTCACTCCAACTTCAGATCATTAATTCAACACTCAGCAGCCTTCTTTCAGGCATTAGACGAAAGAACAAGCAGACACACTCCGGGCTGCTGCTCGACAATTAGAGCAGAATGGGGAGAAGGGGGGGGGGGGATATCTTCACAGACAAAGACAGACACACCCCGGCTGGAGCTCTCAGCCTTTTCAGGAGAAGAACAACAAACTATGGTATACCAAAACATTTAGCGCTTTATCACAGACCCTACATTACGGCCTGACAAAACATGGAAAACTCCACTTTTGTATTTAGTGAATTCACAGAGTCGCCAGGCAAGTTTTATCTTTTTAACTCCCTGAACTCAGATCGGGCTTATTAATCTCTTAATTACCGAACGGACCGGATGTGCACTTGGCTCGCAAAGCAAATCATATCCCCTCAGCCTAATGAATCTCTGAACCTTAAAGTGGACCTATCATGCTATATTTGAATAATATAGTGTAGGACCATACCTATATAAGGCATATTTATACTTTTTTTTTTCAAAATACCAAACAGATCATGCATTTTAGCCATGCCTCATTTTGCTCAATTTGCACTTTTTTAGCTCTGTTTTAGCAAGGGCTGATTCAGTGAGAACAGCACCACCTACTGGCCTGGCATATGTACTACAGCGTCTCCAGCACTTTCGAACGGCAATGGCCGTGGCTGTCTCCTCCTGATTGGTGGAGTTGGCCCAATAGCCGTAGCGCCACCGTCCTGACGTCAGGACAGTGTTCAAATCTGGATCAGTTTTTTTATCAGATCCGTTGCAGCACCTTTTTTAGAGATTTGGGTATGGAGGAAAATAGAGAGGGTTGTGTTTTCTGACACTTGGTGAGTTCCCTGGAACACCGGGGACACATATTCATGTATAAAAGACGTACAAAATCATCATTTTGCATGATAGGTCCCCTTTAACTAAAGGTGTGCGGCTGCTGCTGTGAGGAAATATCAGCCTGAAATTACAATGGGTTTTAATGGAGACATTACGTTTTTGTCACTTCATGCCCTCAAGAGGCATTTTGTTTAATTATTTTTGCTTAATTATTTGTCATTTTTCAAGCTACGAGATGTTTTCCTACGTTTGTCATGAAAAAGTATGTCTCAGGAATGTAGGGTTTGGGAATTATGGCAGTTTTAAAAAACAATATGAAGGCACATTTCAAGATTTCCTACCCTCTAGCTGTGACATCACGCACTCTAGTTAATGTTAAAATCTGAAGAAAGCCTCTTTACCAAGGTCTGAACAATGTTTAATATCTCTAAAAGTAAGAATCAGATTTAAAAGTTGTGTTACACGAATAATGTCAGAAAGATGTGTAACATTTTAAAGTTGGAATGAGGTTTCTGAGTGAAAGTATGAATGAACAGTTAGCAGTTGAAGTCGCATGAAGATTGTTCAAGTCTGAAGATTTTCTCCATTGACTTCAATGGTTAAAAATGTGATGTATTATGGGATGTATCTCTGGAATTATGAAAGTTATGAATAATCCAAATGATAGCCATCGATTCCCGACCGAGCTGAACGTTTTGATGTTTGAACGGAGTTTCTGCGATGTTGTATGCAGGAGGAGAAGAGGTGCAAAGTTCCGGCGGAATAATAATAATTTTGTCCGTAGAATAACATTTAGTGGGAATGCTGTATCAGCATTCCCACTAAATAATTGATAAATGCGTCAGTTTGAAGAAAATAAAACCCTTGAGCAAAAAACTAACATACAGAGTGTTTAAATCTATAAAGTGTATTACACATTTCCGTTTGCTTTTAAACTCCCACACAGTATTTAGTATAACATGATATATGCAATGACTAACGATAAAGGGTATCATATGCAACATGTTTTATAACCATATAATAGACCTGCAGTTTCTACTTTACACATCATGGCCCCATCTTGTGGTCGAAAATTAAAATACACAATTTCAAACTAAAGACCAAACAAAAGTCTAAATCCAATTTAATGTGCAGAAACACATTTGATGTATTTATTAACATGACTTTGTAGATTGAGATGTATGCTGCATGTGAAAGGGCCCGAGTTACCATGCAGCATACACACTTATTCATTGGACTTATTTCCAACGCACAAACCTGAATCTTATCCTGTTACCTTTTAGTTCTAAGAAACACATTTTTTTCCGTGTGTCTTATTCCAGTACGTGTGTCTTATTCCAGTACGTGTGTCTTATTCCAGTACGTGTGTTTTTACCGGATTGTAGCACTTTTTCAGTTTCTTGATTTCATTTGTTTCTAGATCATAATACTTTTCTACTTTTACTTGAGTGACATTTTGAATGCAGGACTTTTACTGTAACAGAGTATTCCTACACTCTGGTACTTCTACTTTTACTCAAGTACAAGACCTGAGTACTTCTACTTTTATTCAAGTACTAGATCCGAGTACTTCTACTTTTACTTTTACTCAAGTACTAGATCCGAGTACTTCTACTTTTACTCAAGTACAAGATCTGAGTACAAGTCTCCTTTTACTCAAGTATTAGATCTGAGTACTTCTACCACCTCTGCATACTGATACTACAAACATTACAGTAGACATCTTCATGAAAAAACTTGTATTCAACCTGAGAATCAGAATACAAATACTTAATTAATTAAATTAGGTTAAGGACACTTAGAGATTATAAAATAAAATACATAAAAACTCATTTTGGATGTTGAGGCGAATATGTGCAACAGTCACTCCACCAATGATTTAATCAAAAAGTACAATTTGCTGCAAATCAGGTCAACATTTTAGTCGGTGAATTGGTGGATTCTTCATAGTCCTGTTGTCTAAAAGGTTGTCTCTTTTGTCGCAGAGGTTGAATGGAGAACGCCAGGACGGCAGCACTTCCTGTCAAAGGTCAGGATCCTCAAAGAGATGATTAACTCTCCTTCTTAACTTCAAGGCCAAAACGAAATGTCTAAACGCTGCTGAGACACAATGACTCTGATCTCTCTCAGGAGGCTCCGATCGGGGGTCAAGCTTAAATAAAGTAATTGAGCAACAGCAGGTTAAATCAAGGCCTCACTTTCCTGGAAAAAAAAGGTAAATGGTTGCTGGTGAGAGGTCACACAAGGTCACAACTCTCTCAGTTTCTGTCATCATCCTGTTGTATCCTCTCAGATACATTGCTACGTTTTGAACAGCACGTGTTTTGGTCAAGTTAAAGAGTTTATATCAGTATGTAGTGTCTCCACTTTAAAGAGTCCTCTCCTGCTGATGTTCAGGTGTATATCAGTATGTAGTGTCTCTACTTTAAAGAGTCCTCTCCTGCTGATGTTCAGGTGTATATCAGTATGTAGTGTCTCTACTTTAAAGAGTCCTCTCCTGCTGATGTTCAGGTGTATATCAGTATGTAGTGTCTCTACTTTAAAGAGTCCTCTCCTGCTGATGTTCAGGTGTATATCAGTATGTAGTGTCTCTACTTTAAAGAGTCCTCTCCTGCTGATGTTCAGGTGTATATCAGTATGTAGTGTCTCTACTTTAAAGAGTCCTCTCCTGCTGATGTTCAGGTGTATATCAGTATGTAGTGTCTCTACTTTAAAGAGTCCTCTCCTGCTGATGTTCAGGTGTATATCAGTATGTAGTGTCTCTACTTTAAAGAGTCCTCTCCTGATGATGTTCAGGTGTATATCAGTATGTAGTGTCTCTACTTTAAAGAGTCCTCTCCTGCTGATGTTCAGGTGTATATCAGTATGTAGTGTCTCCACTTTAAAGAGTCCTCTCCTGCTGATGTTCAGGTGTATATCAGTATGTAGTGTCTCTACTTTAAAGATGCTCAGTGTGAAATGAGACTCCATAATGATGTGTTTAATGTGAGGTCACACTGACATCTAGTGGTGATCTGCAGACATCAACACAAGGTCAACATTAAACTCCTCATAACTTTAAGCGTTATTGAGATTATGATTAATTCACATGACTTTGGGAACATTAAAAATGCATATTGTTAAAGCTGGTTTAAGATCACCCCATGTCTGTCCTCCTGAGTCCTACATTTTATTGTTTTTATTGTATTTTATTTACTTTTTGTTGTATTTTAAATTCTATCTTTTCCTTTTATAATTTATTTTGTATATGTTTGTTAATAATATAAAGCCCAACTTTGATTTGATTAAACTTTTCTCTGATCAGCTGTAGCTATGGCAACAGGTGGCAGTTAGCCTACATTAGCTTCGATGCTAGCTAACATTAGCCACCGGTCAAAACACATTACTGTAATTACCTGAGCGTTTTAAAACGTATTAATTAAAACATGTAAGGTGCTTTAAAAGTTATATAACGTAGTGAAAGGTCTTAACAAGTACCTTTAGCGCTGTTGCTGAGCTGAGGTATGTCGGTGTTTGGAAGTGAAGCATCACAGAAAGCACCGGGAGAAGGACCGGGGATTTCATCTCTGTTCATCCGGGAGAGGGAGCAGGCATAGCGGCCAGCAGACAGAGCAAAGACCCCTGGTAGTGCGCCAGACGCTGATGCAAATCGTGGCCAAACGGTGGGACTACATTTAACATTTCACACACAATACCGCCTGAAACTACACACTGCAGAGATTAGACCTGAGATTAGGGAAGACCATTTCCACCACAGAAAAGAACATATCTACTCTGTAAATCATTTATATGATTTATAATCTCAATAATATGATTTACTAGCTCATTAACATGAAGTACTCAGATCTTGTACTTGAGTTAAAGTAGAAGTAATGTAAATACAATGTCCTGTAAGAGCTCTTATTTTGAAGTGCTTCCTGTTTGCTGTTAAGTTTCACTTCGTGCTCGTCCGTCGTGTCGCACCTTCTTCTTCTACTTCTTCTCTCTAAAGGTTTGTAACTTTTTGTGACTTCAGAGCTCTTAGAGACAACTCTGATTATCAATCATTGCTCAGAGAATAAGAACAACTCTTTAGTTTAACTTTTAGAGACTCAGAGACAGACTTTAACTCTCTTCCTGTTTTTACCTCAAAACGCCTGCACACAAAAACTATTATTATTATCAATCATTACTCAGGGAATAACTCAGAGACCCTCTCTCTCTTTCTATCCTTACGTGTGTGTGTGTGTGTGTGTGTGTGTGTGTGTGTGTGTGTGTGTGTGTGTGTGTGTGTGTGTGTGTGTGTGTGTGTGTGTGTGTGTGTGTGTGTGTGTGTGTGTGTGTGTGTGTGTGTGCATGCGCGCGCATGCGCATGCGTGCCCTCATTGGTCATGTGCACGTTCGTGTGTGTTGGAGGAGGGGCTCTGTAAGGATGTGGCAGATTTTCTCCGGTTTGTATTTTCAAATTCTAGCAATCTCGAGCCGGTTTCTCAAACTTACCTACCCTACCTTTAAAGAAAACAACACTAATGTTCCTCCGTCAGCCACCAGAGGGCGAACAATCCCACAGCCTCACTCACAGGTGAACTGTTTAATAAAAAACGTTACAAACCAAAGTAAAGAGATAATAGTTTAAGAGCATGAAATACAAATATATATTAATTATCTTTAACCTGTTAAGCCCTGAGCCTGTTTTTCAGGTCTCAGGCTCGAAAATGACATTCCCAGAACAAATGACCATATCTTCCCTTCTAAAAGGGTTAAATTAATAATCTTTTTTCTCAAAGTAATGATAAACCTGTGAGTTGGATGTAGAAAAGTCAGAATCAATATAGATGTTTTTTATCTTAAAGAAAATAACGATTTTACATAGTAAAAAACTGTAAATTATAGTGTCCGTCCAAAAATTCTTTTTTACTTATAGTGAAAACCACTCTTGGATGATGGGTTAGTAGACTAAAAGCTTTAGGAATCCAAAGTACAACATATAATAAGTACCCTGTATCAAGAATGATGCAAAACAAGTGACATTTGACCTTTTTAGAGAGGTTTAGCCAAAAACACTCCACCTCTGAGGTGATTTGGGTGGAAATGTTTTTTTTTCATATCTCTGGAACCCATTCGTCAATTTTGATGGTTGACACCTCTTTCTGACCGTTAGAGCCAATAGAATCGAAGGGGGAGTCCCCCGCACACACTCATTGTGAAACAAAAAGGTGCGGGCTTTGCGCATGTAATTTTGCATTAGAGTGAAGCCACAGTCTAGCTCTGACATCTAGAAACGGAATAGCATGGATTATCTGTTTTATTGATCATGGATTATCAGAAATCATTTCAAAGGGACACAGACACATTAGATTAATTTATGGATTAACTTCAGCAGCGTTTTTATCGTTTTAATGCCATTGAAGACCACTTTGGAGAGACAGAGCCAAGGTAAAAATGCTAGCATTTTTAGCTACCTAGCATCACCTGTTTTGATGTCTGTTTTTGTTTATAACGTCGCAAATTCGTATAATTCAGTGATAATGAGGGTACCCATCGATTCTGTGTCACCTCACGATGTGAATCCATGTGTTGGATGTGGTGAAAAGATAAATAATAAGGTTTTGTGAGTGATTTTCGGTGCAGTAATCTGTTCATTTTTCGCTCATTGCTAATTCAGAGGCTCAGTGTTAGCATTGTGGGTTTTCTTTTGAAAAAAAAATTAAAATGGTCAGTTAGATGAGTTTCTTCCCGTTACATGGATATAAAACATTCATAGGTTTTTAAATGAACATGCCCTCAGACACTGTTTCCTGCAAGATGTTGCGGCAGTGCCCCGGTGCCGGGGTCTCTCGGGCTTAACAGGTTAACTCTCTTCCTGTTTTTACCTGAGATACACCTGTGGCCTGTACTACGAAGCCGGATTTTCGCTTAGCCGGCTGACTTCAGGGAAAACTCTGGCTTTCCGGTCCTACGACGCTGGTTCTCTTTTTAGCAGGCTAGATCTCCATGGTAACTTATGCTGAGCGGCTAACCTCCTCGGGAGGAGGTTAGGTTGCAGGCTAAGAGATCAACTCAGTGAAAGCACTGCCTGCTGACCAATCAGAGCTCTGTGTAAGGAGTTTAAAGCTATCAAGTCATATTACAGGATAGAGGAAATACAGAAAAACTGCTATTGCAGGAAAGAGGGCCGGCAAAAATCACCTGACTGTGTGAACGTGAAAATTAATAGAATATCCCCTCCCATCTTCAGAGCAATCTGACTATTATAACATTAGCGTTAAGAAAGCTGACTTAAATATCTGCCACAACACAAGTAACTGGATCAGAGTAACATTAAGTACAGTCCGCGGCACTGTGAGTGCAGACGTCGATGTGTCCCATTATCATTTATATCATATCACATCATAATGTATCATATATTTCCTTATTTGAGTCAGCTTCTTGAGCCGTATCTGGCCGTGCAACACTCACAGTGTCACATACTGTATGCAGAAGTATTATTTTAAGCAACACATTAAGTTGACAAAACACTCGAGTCAAATGTAATTAAAGTCAGATCGTGTCTTGGACGGGGCAGTGATATCATAAACCTGTTAATGTACGCATTCAAACACTTTTTCTTTTACCAGCTGTATTCACCTTGCAGGTGCAGCTATGTGGCTTTGATCCTGGATAAAGTGTTTAAGTCATGGATGTTTAAAGTTTAACTTCTTCATATTTGACTAATATTAAAGTTCACTTTTCATTCAGGAAGTATGACGCTGCGCTGTCAGTACGCTTGTCCATGTTTGAGATTGGTCGAATGCTCCAAATACCATCCTTTTCATGTGAACGCGCACCTAACTAGATAGGACACGGCTGGCTTGAGCGATCCACTTGATAACCAGCATCGTAGTACAGCTTAGCGAGAGCACGTATGTTTTGGATTGGGCCAACCGGCTAACTCAAACATATCCAGGTTAGGAAAATCTGGCTTCGTAGTACAGGCCTCTGTACTCAAAAACTATTATTATTATTATTATTATCAATCATTACTCAGGGAATAACTCTGAGACCCTCTCTCTCTTTATTTCTGTCCTTACTACTGTAACTGTGCGTGTGTGCGTGTGTTTATATATACACAGTCTATGGTGTGAATTTATTCCAGGTGTAACCTCAACCTCAACCTGGACCTGGACCTGGACCTGGACCTGAGTGCCGCTGTGTTTCCTCAAAGAGTGAACGCTCAATGGAGCCTCAATCTGCTGATGGGGGGGTAAGAATTTTAAATGGACTAAAAGCCATTTGAGTCAGTTGTTGTCTGTGTTGAAGCTTCTGTGTAACCTTCTGGAAATCCTGGTTATTAGCGACGTCGGTGGGCGTTAAGTGAACTGCAGTTAGCATCCTGGGCATGAACTCAGTGACGTTATCCACTAAAGACAGATGTTTTTACGTTAGCTTCTGGCTGTAGGGCAGCTGAAGAGACGCGAGGCACTTTGTAGATAAACTTCACTTCTTTAGGATTTTCTCTGATTTATACAATTACATTGTAAAGAGTGACTTTAGATTTAACATATTTTCATCAGTTTTTCTCCAGCGTGCCAATGTATGGGCGGTGGTGGCAAAGTCCGTAGGGACTTGGCTTGGGAACCGGAAGGGTCACTGGTTCAAGACCCCAGAAGACCAAGTGCTACCCAGTACATATGGCAGCCCACTGCTCCTAACACTAGGATGGATCAAATGCAGAATGTACATTTCCCCTCTGAGCTCCTTCTTCTTCTCTTTATGCATCTGTTTCTGTTTCAGGGTCCAGCAGCAGAGACCAGACTCTCCCAGCTGTCTGTCCTTCAAGAGCGACCGGTCGAAGGGCTTTGGCATAAACTTTAAAGGACGACCTCCATCTGCTGATCAGAAGTAAGCTGTAACTCATAGTAAGAGTCCGGTTATGATAGAAGCAGACTTGATTACTGCATCAGTGTTTTTACAGACAACTAAAGCTCATCCAGAATACTGCCGCCAGAGACCTCTTACTTTTCTCTAATATTACTGTCACCATCAGATAGCTTAAACAACATTAACATTTCACACAAGTCACTTAAGTGGATCAAATATAATTTTACAGATGGTAGAACATGTCTCAGTTTTTAATTTCCATTACGATCTGTTCACACATTAGCAACACAGAGCGATTTATACCATTACATTATTAAATATAGTGACTTTAGATTTAACATATTTTTCATTCGTTTTCTCCATTATGCCAATGTATGCATCTGTTTCTGTTTCAGGGTCCAGCAGCAGAGACCAGACTCTCCCAGCTGTCTGTCCTTCAAGAGCGACCGGTCGAAGGGCTTTGGCATAAACTTTAAAGGACGACCTCCATCTGCTGATCAGAAGTAAGCTGTAACTCATAGTAAGAGTCCGGTTATGATAGAATAAATCCAGTTTGTATAAAGTCTTGTCCGACCCCTCCTCTTGTCCAAAGTGTTTAGTTGTGAACGTCCACAGTGGGAGGGGCAGTGAAACTCCATCTGAAAACTCAGGCAGTTCAGAAGCTGTTCCACCATCTCACAAACACTTCTGATGGAGGATACTGAGCCTTCATCAAAGTCACAACCAGCTCTACTGCCAGGTGAACCCTGACCCCTGCTATGGTGCAGGAGGTGGAGCTGGGGGGGTAACGGGGGCTGGTGTAAGAACTGTCCCTAGGTCTTTCCTTTTCCTGATGAACAGCTGTTAGCCAGCTGCAGAGTCCAGTATCTATCCACACAGCCACGTTTCAGGAAGACCAGAATGAAGGATGGACAGAATCCTCTGGTCTTCAACAGTAGCTGGAAATAAATATTCCTGTAGTGCAAAGTTCCCGCTGACGCACAGGACCACCAGCCTGTTCCCCTGTCCTCCTTTACCCTGAGTGTGTCTCTGTGTGGACAGACATAATGTGAGCTAATGCTTCATGATTCATCCACAGAGGGGACCAGGAGAGCTCGGAGGTTCCCGGTGGTCAGTCGGCCCAGCAGCATCAGACACAGCTGGACTCCATATTTACGGTATGTACATGTACTACAGATACTTTACCTCTCTTCTGTTCACAGTCATCTCCATGCTGCACTTTTAGAGAGTCAGTCTGTCCGGATCTGATGTTTGGATCCATGGTTTATAGTTTGTGTCGTTCATGTGATGTTCCAGCTGCTGGAGGACCACATCGTCACCTTTGTGAAGAGCGAGCTGACGAAGTTCCAGAAGACTCTGAGTTCAGATTACCCAGAAGGCTTAGAGAGTCAGAGTGAGGATGAGGAGGTGTTGGAGGCTGAGGATGAAGAGCAGAGGAGGAGCAGAGAGGCATTCCTGAACATCACACTGCACTTCCTGAGGAGCATGAAGCAGGAGGAGCTGGCTGACCGTCTGCAGAGCAGTAAGAGGGTTTCTATAGAGATTTAACACTCTGGATAAATGTCTCATCTGCTGATGTCTCAAGAGACCAACATATATCCATATTTTATTCAGAGAACCAGAGTTACAGTGTTCCCAAATGATATTTTATTGTGTGTTCTTTCAGAAACCTTTGCTGGAGTGTGTCAGCGTAAACTTAAGTCCACCCTGAAGAAGAGGTTCCAGTGTGTGTTTGAGGGCATTGCTAAAGCAGGAAACCCAACCCTTCTGAACCAGATCTACACAGAGCTCTACATCACAGAGGGGGGGTCTGCAGAGGTCTATGCTGAACATGAGGTCAGACAGATTGAAACAGCATCCAGGAAACCAGACAGACCAGAAACAACCATCAGACAAGAAGACCTCTTTAAAGCCTCACCTGGAAGAGATGCACCAATCAGAGCAGTGATGACAAAGGGCGTGGCTGGCATTGGGAAAACAGTCTTAACACAGAAGTTCACTCTGGACTGGGCTGAAGGCAAAGCCAACCAGGACTTCCAGTTCATATTTCCATTCACCTTCAGAGAGCTGAATGTGGTGAGAGAGAACAAGTACAGCTTGGTGGAACTTGTTCATCACTTCTTCACTGAAACCAGAGACGCAGGAATCTGCAGGTTTGATCAGTTCCCGGTCGTGTTCATCTTTGACGGTCTGGATGAGTGTCGACTTCCTCTGGACTTCCACAACACTGAGATCCTGACTGACGTCACAGAGTCCACCTCAGTGGATGTGCTGCTGACAAACCTCATCAGGGGGAAGCTGCTTCCCTCTGCTCGCCTCTGGATAACCACACGACCTGCAGCAGCCAATCAGATCCCTCCTGAGTGTGTGGACATGGTGACAGAGGTCAGAGGGTTCACTGACCCACAGAAGGAAAAGTACTTCAGGAAGAGGTTCACAGATCAGGAGCAGGCCGGCACCATCATCTCCCACATCAAGACCTCACGAAGCCTCCACATCATGTGCCACATCCCAGTCTTCTGCTGGATCTCTGCTTCAGTTCTGGAGGAGGTGTTGAAAACCAGAGAGAGAGGAGAGCTGCCCAAGACCCTGACTGAGATGTACATCCACTTCCTGGTGGTTCAGTCCAAAGTGAAGAACATCAAGTATGATGGAGGAGCTGAGACAGATCCACACTGGAGTCCAGAGAGCAGGAAGATGATGGAGTCTCTGGGGAAACTGGCTTTTGAGCAGCTGCAGAAAGGCAACCTGATCTTCTATGAGTCCGACCTGACAGAGTGTGGCATCGATATCAGAGCAGCCTCAGTGTACTCAGGAGTGTTCACAGAGGTCTTTAGAGAGGAGAGAGGACTGTACCAGGACAAGGTGTTCTGCTTCATCCATCTGAGCGTTCAGGAGTTTCTGGCTGCTCTTCATGTCCATCTGACCTTCATCAAGTTTGGAGTCAACCTGCTGGCAGAAGAACCAACAACCTCCCAGAAGCCTAAAGTCTTCAGAGCCAAATCTAAACTGCCACATATCTACCAGAGTGCTGTGGACCAGGCAGGGCTCTCGACTAACTTTTTTCACCATCCTCCCGGAACCGTCCCGAAATACAATCGAAGCCGTCCCGAAATTAATGTGGACCGTCCCGAATTTAAAATATTTGTTTTTCTACATTATCATTAGTTAAAATCATTCAAAGTGACCTTTAACATAAATAAAACATCATACAAATCATTAGATGATAATTCATCAACCTTTTTATTTGAGTAAATCAGTCAAACACATAAACAAAGGCCAAATATATTTAAAAAAAACACACAAGCGAGAAAGTTACTCTAATATTGAATCCAATCAAGTCCCATCCGATTAACAAAAAAATCCAACACTCTGTCCTGAAGACAGAACCCAGAGTAACCTAACCAGGATGACAGTCTGTAACACAGTCAGGGGACCTTTACAAACTGCCCCGCCCCCTCGCACACAGACGGGGGAGAGAGCTCTCTCGTCTGGATTGGAAAGTACATCATAGACGCATTTTGTAGTCTTATTGCATATTAGAAAAGGAGTTGGCGAAACTAAAACTGCAATATAATGTTCATGTAGCAATAATACATATGACATGTATGTTTTAAATGTCTCCAGTACCGATAAAAAGACCACTGTTGGTACCACTGTCTTTAATAATTCCGGCCCGGGGCCCGTTTAATACCGGGGCTCGGTACCCATCCCTACATGGGGAGAGGCGCAGCATATTGCTAAGGACTAAATGCGATGGAGAGTTCTCATCTCAGCTGCAATGACATGTCTGGAAACCCCCTCTAGGGTGCCCCATGCATAGCGCGTCGTCAAAAGCTGCTTCATAAGTTAAGTTTCGTTTCTCCGCACCGCTCCGGGGTAAAAAAATTGTAGTTACATCACAGCTGTACGGCTGGCTGACAGCTGTAGCTACGTACTGTGTGTGTGTGTATTTCGCGGGTTGCTAAATGCTTTGTGTGTGTTTATGTTGACAAGGATGTTTAATAACTGTGTGCTACACAAAACGTGCAGTCAGTTTCATTTTCATCGTCGTTCGTAGTAGAGTTAGCAGGGTTTTATTTTAACTCTCGTCCCAAATTCGTCCCAAAATTAATTTGTATCCTCCCCGACCCGATTTTTTTCGGCCCCGGGACGACGGGACGTCCTTAAGCTCGAGCCCTGGGACCAGGCCTTACAGAGTCCAAACGGACACCTGGACTTGTTCCTGCGCTTCCTCCTGGGTCTTTCATTGCAGACCAATCAGAAACTCCTACGAGGCCTGCTGACACAGACAGGAAGTGGCTCAGGGACCAACCAGGAAACAGTCCAGTACATCAAGAAGAAGATAGAAGAGGATCTGTCTGCAGAGAGAAGCATCAACCTGTTCCACTGTCTGAATGAACTGGATGATCGTTCTCTAGAGGAGCAGATCCAACAGTACCTGAGTTCAGGAAGTCTCTCCAGAGATAATCTCTCTCCTGCTCAGTGGTCAGCTCTGGTCTTCATCTTACTGTCATCAGGAGAAGATCTGGACGTGTTTGACCTGAAGAAATACTCTGCTTCAGAGGAGGCTCTTCTGAGGCTGCTGCCAGTGGTCAAAGCCTCCAACAAAGCTCTGTAAGTACAGAGATCATTTGATTTAGAGAATCAGTTATTAATACACTGCTGTCTTCTGAATAACTGTTGTCCTCATCGTCTCTTCAGGCTGAGTGGCTGTAAGCTGTCAGAGAGAAGCTGTGAAGCTCTGTCCTCAGTCCTCAGCTCCCAGTCCTCTAGTCTGAGAGAGCTGGACCTGAGTAACAACGACCTGCAGGATTCAGGAGTGAAGCTGCTGTCTGCTGGACTGGAGAGTCCACACTGTGAACTGAAGACTCTCAGGTTAGAGCACAGTACAGTTTGACTCAGCCATGCTGTGTGGTGTGGGAATACCATCATCAAAAACATAATTCAAGAGAAACGCGACACAATATATCAGTCACAATTCACAATTTATTGGCACAAACTTCTTTAAAGTTAAAAAAACATCCCCCCTTGTGTACCACACACAGAAAAATATACAAAGGGCTGGGCCCCTCACTAGAGGTGAGGTATATTGCCTCAAAGATCAATCAAATGTAGGTAAATTAATCTTGATACTTGAATATGCTTTAACCTGTTTCACGCCTTCCCCCCGGTACCGGGCGGATAAACGCGTCATTTGCAGGAAACAACGTCTAAGGAATCTTAATATTGAATAAAACTATGAATGTGTTATATCCATGTAACGGGAAGAAACTCAGCTAACTGATCTTTTTAATTTTTTTTTTCAAAAAAACCCCACAATGCTAGCACTCAGCCTCTGGATTAGCCTCGATCGAAAAAACGGGACCTACTAAGGCACTTAAACTCACTCATAACTCCCTTATTACTTATCCTAGATGCACAACCAAACACTCTTTTTTGGTGTCCTGGAGACACTGAATCTAACGGTGCCCACCTCAACACTCAGTGATAAACATTCGCGACGCTATCAACGAAAGCGTACATCATCACATGTGGAGCAAAGAAGCTAAACATGTAAATATGGCTCACCTTGGTCAAAAGTGGTCTTCAATGGCATTAAAACGATAAAAAAACGATGCTGCAGTTAATCCATAGGTTCATCCTATGTGTCTGTGCCTTCTTTGAAATTATTTCTGATAATCCATAAGCAATACAACTGCGTTTTAGTTTCCAAACTCCAGAAGGAGACATTCCTCCAGTTTAGTTTCGCTTTCCACACGCGAAGCGGCAACATTTTTTCTTTACAACCTGTCTGGGTGGGAGCCTCCTCCTTCGATTCTATTGGCTCTAACGGTCACAAGGGTATGTCAACCAACCAGATCGAGCAAGGGGGGCCAGAGATAGGTCAAATCCACCCATATGACCCCAGATGGCCCAGTTTTTGGCTAAATCTCTCTAAAAAGGTCAAATTTCACTTGTTTTGCATCAATCTTGATACAGGGTACTTATTATATGTTGTACTTTGGATTCCTAAAGCTTTTAGTCTACTAACCCATCATCCAAGGGTAGTTTTCACTATCTGTAAAAAATAATTTTTGGACGGACACTATAATTTACAGTTTTTTACTATGTAAAATCTGAATTTTCTTTAAAATAAAAAACATTTATATTGATTCTGACACTTCTACATCCAACTCACAGGTTTATCATTACTTTGAGAAAAGATTATTAATTTAACCCTTTTAGAAGGGAAGATATGGTCATTTGTTCTGGGAATGTCATTTTCGAGCCTGAGACCTGAAAAACAGGCTCAGAGTGGAACAGGTTAAGAAAAACACAGCCTATATCCCGCTCCCCAGAGGGTTTACTTTACTTTGTTGGCGGCTCATCCTTTAACACAGAAGGATTGATTATAATAAGGAGAAATAGGAAGGGTTTGTTATGCAAATAAGTTATTGGGCTGGGCTTTTTTTTACAAACTAACATTTGTTAGAAAATGTTTTCAACTTTAATTGACTGAATTTATTAGAAAATTGGGCTTATGAACACATGAATACTTCTGTTTGATATATATATATATATATATGTTTACATTTAAGAAGTACAATATAAGAGAAGCACAAGTTTCTCTCTAGTCTTTCTTCACATTATTCTCTATTCCTTTGTGTTATGATATTTTCATATCAATAAGACCCTTACCATGGCTGTCCATTTGAACTGTGAAGCAGTGACTGGAGTTTTAGGTGAAGAGATGACCCAGAGGTGATGCAGTAATAAGCCCCGCCCCTTCCAGTCCTGGACCCTCAGATGATCTGACGGCTTGTTTGTGTGTCTGCAGGCTGTCAGGCTGTCTGATCACAGAGGAAGGCTGTGATGCTCTGGCCTTAGCTTTAAACCGCTCCCATCTGAGAGAGCTGGACCTGAGCTACAATCATCCAGGAGAGTCAGGGGGGAGGCTGCTGTCTGCTGGACTGGACACGCTCAGGTATGGAGAGGCACTCAGTCTGATAGAGGAGGTAGAAACTGGCTCCTATGACCTGAAAGAACCAGAGCTGATAGACCCTGACTCTTCACACTGTCTGCCGTCAGCTGTTAGCATCAAACACAAATTTTCAACTTAGAGGAAACCCCCCCTCAGTGGGTCAATGTTCATCGTGGAACGACCACCAGAGTGTTTTTTTTTAATAAACTGATTCCTTTCCAGATGTTTTTATTTTGAGTCCTAGCAAACGGCCAATCAGAAGAACCTTCCCTGGAATGAAAATAATGATTTATTAGTTTCAGTGTTGGGAGTAACTTGTTACAGTAATCAGATTACATTTGTCTGTAACGCAGTAGTGTAACGCGTTACTGTTGGTTCAGCAGTAATTACATTAGATAAGATAAGATAGTACTTTATTGATACTGAGCACAACATAATGTCATTACCTGCGTTATGTTAAGGTCTTCAACTTTCTGCATAACGGGAGGATAGAAAAATAAATCAAACGTCCTTTTTCTCTTGTGCTACACTCGCGAGATGGCAGAGTTTTCATAGCAGAGATAAACAGGCACAGCAAAACATCGTGGAGGTTTTCGTTTCATTACATCCATGGTTTCCACGGTGGAATCACCATCTTTCTAAAAACATATTGAGCAAGAAATACGTAACAGGCGGGTGCCAGGTATCAAATCTGAGTGTGAATCTCTGGATTGTTGAGACTCCCCTGACGCCGCTAGATTCACACATACATTTTTTTAAGAGGCAAGTGTCTTCGGTCAATCAGATGTCTGCTTCATTTTAAGCCAATCACATGCGTGTGTCCCCTTGAGGGTGTGTTTAATGTGTTTGCAACGTAGCGTAACATCTACGCGGTTTGCAGAGTCTGGGGCCCCTCAAGTGCAGAGATTCACACTCAAATGCTGAGATTCACACAGAAAGCATTTTCATATAAATGTAACAACACTCAAATGTGTTTCTGATGTAACTATTTGTGAGTGGATCAGAAATATATTTGTGAAACTTTTTTACATTTATAAAATGATAAGTTTTTGTGTGTGCACTGAAAAATGTGTGTGGAGACATTTATATATGAATCCGTAATAACATCTGTGTATCCTTCTGTGTGCATTTCTGTATTTGTGAGACTGATCTGACCCCATAGCCATCAGACAGGAACACTTTAGCAAACTACCTGGAGCAGAGTTATGATGAGCTAAGGAAAACATGATGTTCAAACAAAGAGCAGAAACTGAGACAACAAAACATCAAAACAAACTGAAAAGTATTAAATATGAAGCGCACAGTGAACCAAAGAGAAACCCATATTTCCTGATGCTCACAAACGCTGCACACAGGAAGCATGCCCCCACCTGATCAACACCTGGAGAGGAGATCAGAGACATCACAAAAGAGACACCTCAGTGTTTGTAGATGTTTCTGGAGGCAGACTGAGGTGGACATATCAGACCATTTAAAGACTAACTGACCCCCCCTCCCTTTCAGCCTGGAGCCTGCTGCAGTCCGGTTCTTGAGGCCAGGTCTCAGGAAGTGTAAGTGTGTTTTTAATCATGAACATCTTCACACTGGGACATCACAGGTACTTTAGTAACCTTTAATACCTGCTGTGTCTCTCATCAGATTCCTGTGGACTCACACTGGACTCAAACACAGTGAACAGAAACCTCCAACTGTCTGACAACAACAGGAAGGTGACACGTGTGGAGGAGAAGCAGAAATATCCTGATCATCCAGAGAGGTTTGATGGCTGGCCTCAGCTGATGTGCAGAGAAGCTCTGACTGGTCGCTGTTACTGGGAGGTCAAGTGGAGAGGAGGGGTTAATATATCAGTGACTTACAGAGGAATCAGGAGGAAAGGAAACAGAGAGGACTGTATGTTTGGATGGAATAATCAGTCCTGGAGACTGTACTGCTATGATGGAGGTTATTCTGTCTGGCACAATAAGAGAGCAACAGCCATCTCCTCCTCCTCCTCCCCCTCCTCCTCCTCCTCCTCCTCTGGTAGAGTAGCAGTGTATCTGGATCATCCTGCTGGCTCTCTCTCCTTCTACAGAGTCTCCTCTGACACACTGACCCACCTCCACACCTTCAGAACCACATTTACTGAACCTCTCTATGCTGGGTTTGGGTTCTGGTTACATGGTTCCTCTTCCGTGTCTCTGTGTTCTCTGCAGGATTGACCCCCTCCCCCCCAAAAAAAGAGAGGGGCTGATCATAAAGTGTAAAACTAAGATTTCTGAGACTTTCTGAAAAAAGTCAGAATTCTGAGATTTTAATTAAAAGCTCAAAATAAAAGTCAGTCTTTGCAAAGATGAAACTCAGAAAGAGGTTGAATAACAACAGGAAGTCCATTCTGATTTATTTCCACACGGAGGCTTTTATTCTGAAACTGCAGGAAAATGTACATTTATCCCAAAGTCTTCCCACCATCTGTAGTTTGTGAACACGTGACATCACTTCAGTTTGAATGGCAGCAGTAAAGGGTTACTGAGGCTCGTTAAGAACAGGTCATAGTGACGAGTTCAATCACTTCTGCAGAATATAATATATGATGTCTACAAACTAACATATAATAACGTCTGAAGTGCAAACGTGAACATAAAGTGCAAACCACAGCGTGCATGCATTTGAGCTCAATGACCGGCTTCCCTGTGAATATTTAAAATATAACGTGGCCCTACACAGCAGAGTCTGAGCGGCACAGTGTGCAGCTTTTATTTCAATGCTGGCTTTTTACTCTCATGCAAACATGGTCATTACTTTTTAAGAAGGGTCAGATTCGATGAGCCTTATTTGCATTTAGGAAACTAATCTTCCCTAAACAGCACGATGATGTTTGAATGAACACGGCTGCTTCTGGGGTGAATGTAAACCTCTGATCTGGGTTAGATGGGTTTATTAACAGACCAATCACATGATGATTGTCTCATCATTAACACTCATGTACTTTCAATGTAAGCAGCTGATCTAATTAATAAAGTCTGTGTTTTGAGTCGGACTCGTGGCCTGTCTTTGTCTCAGTTTGATGGTTTATTTATATATACTTTTAATTTCTCTAATGTTCAATACCTTGTCTTTTTATGCTGCTGCAACGCAAACATTTCCCAAATTGGGATCAATAAAGTACTTTTTATCTTATCTTATCTTATCTTAACGCGAGGGGAGAATCCTCTTGTTTGGTCTGAAGGTGAGTCTAATCAGACGCCGCTGCCCCCACCCCGGCCGTACAGCAGGAACCCCCCCGCGGTGCGAAGCTCCTCCAGATCCAGGTTGGACAGGAAGCTCCTCTGAAGCTCCGCCTCCACCGTGCACCCTCCCGGGCCGCTGCACCCCCCCAGCAGCACCACGACCGACTGACACAGCAGCCAATCAGAGAGCTTCCTCAGGTCGGATAGAGCCCGCCCCCCCCCACAGGCTCAGGTGAAGCATGTTAGCGGCGACACGAGCGCTTGGCCGCTGCAGAAGAGAGTAAAAAAACAGGTGGTTAATGAACAACCTGTTTTAATATCTGTTGGGAAAATCCTGAATGTCCTCTTCCAACATGAGAGCAACATGATAACAAAGGTATCCCAACTGTAGCTGTGAACATGACAGGATGTATGATTACCTAGAAGAGCATCAGGACTGTTTGAGGCATATGATAGCTATGTGATTAACATGATGATTCAGCCTCTATGGAGAAAGTCAGAATTTTGTGATTTTTTGAAAGAAACCAACATTTTGAGAAAAAGTCCGAATTTTGAGAAAAAGTCCCAATTTTGTGAAAAAGTCCCAATTTTGAGTAAAAGTCCCAATTTTGCTATGTGATTAACATGATGATTCTATGGAGATAGCCATATGACAAGCATGATAATTTCTGACGTGGAGCTAATCTGAAATAAACATTGAATACTGCTTTCTATTCCTCCATCTTGTGACTGTGTAACTCCCTCTCTTGGATATCAGCATGTGAAGGACACTGTTCAGGAACTAGTTGATGCTCTGTATGTGATGACTACTTCCATTCTGGAGAGGATCAGAGATACATGGATCCTGAGATTGAAGCTCAAGCCGGAGACCAGTGAGAGTTTTAGAATTCTCCTGAGATCTATTTTTTTTGTATTATTATTTTTTTAAAGCTACAGACCCAGAATCAGCACTTTAGTAACAGCTGGAATAGAGGGTTTGAGGCTAGAATGATCTGTTTGGTAATTTAAGCAAAACACTTCATAAACATGTTTTTTATATATTTGTATATATCTGAGACCCATAATTCTGCCTAAAAGTAGTATGATATGAGACCTTTAATATATATCTGTATATATCACCTTGCTGGGGCTCCTCCTGAGCAGCAGCTGAATCACCAGCTGCACGTCAGCAGGTGCAGTGGGGGGGGGAGGTGGCAGCTGCGTCTCCTCGTAGCTCCGGCTCTGCAGCCCCCCCGCTCCGTAGAAAGGGTTTTGCTCCCCGAAGATCTCGTAGGCGACGGCGCCGACCGCCCAGCCGTCCGCCTTCCTGTAGTCGATCACCGAGGCCCGGCCCGGGGAGGCACTGGACACCTGGGGGGGGGGGGGCAGAGAGCGGTTATAGACAACAGGGTCAGGGTTCACTGTGTAACTCTGATTATAAGTCTTTATTATATTTCTGTATATTTATATTGTGGGTTATATATAGATATAGATATTTATTTAAAAGGTCTCCTATCATGCTAAATGCACTTTTTTATGTCTTTTCTATATAAATATGTGTCCCCGGTGTGTCCCCGGTGTGTCCCCGGTGTGTCAGGAGATAAAACCCTCTCTCTTTCCCTCCGTACCCACATCTCTAAAAACGGGGGAACAACGGAGCTGATCCAGATTTGCTGCGTCATGACGTAACATCTGAAATGTGGGTGGGCTTTAGACCCACGGCAACATGTGGTAAACACGCAAGAGAAAAAGCATTTGAGATCCATACATTTCAGAAATAATCCTTGATGTGGTTTTGAACATGATATGGCGTTTCATCACGGCTGAGAATCTCTCGGTAGAATTCTGAGAAGGCACAAGCTCCCTTTTTTTAAAGCTACTGACCCAGAATCATCTCTTTAGTACAGTGTTTCTCAAAGTGGGGGGCATGACATTTTTTTTTTTTAAAAGAGAATTGTTATGACGTCTGCATGACCGGCGGAAGTTTAAGCGTGCCGTGTCGTGCCGGGCCCGTTTTGGTTGCGTTTCCACTAGGCCTAGTTCCGGCCCGGGGCTACTTTTTCACCTCTTTTCTGGCCCGACAAAATCGTGGTTCTTTCCGGCCCAACAACGAGGCTGAGTCGGGCTGAGTATGCTAAACTAGAGAGAGAATAGCTGGCAAGGGGGCTACAACTACAACAAGATGAACATATTTGACCGTGATTTAATTGTAATACACGTTTCAAAATGATGCCGAAGTAACAACATACTGATACCGGTTAGTAAAAACCATGAATTAATGCTTTGACAAGTCTGCAGACAGACGGCAGGCAAACAACCTTTTAAAATGCGTGTTTTCTGAATGGAGATCGGCTAAGCTAACGCAATATATGCTCCGACCGTCCACACTCACAACAACGGCCTATACAGACATAAATAAAGCAGCGACTGTATTCACCATGACACAGGCAGTCTGTGGTTTGTACTTGTTTAACTTTTGTCTAGTTTCTGAACAGATATGAGGAGCTGTGAGCTCTGAGTGCTAACAGCTAACGGCTGCTGTTGGTTTTCTGGGGTTCTCATTGAAGATGACGTCACGGCTCCGCCTACACTGCGTTACTATAGATACTACCCCAGTTCCTAAACTGTAATGGAAGCGCAGCATAAAGTGAGCCTGGCCTAACAAGGCCTAACAAAACCGTAGGATAGCCATAGCACCCCCAAGAAATGTATGTCTTTTTTATTTTTATGTGTGAAATTCATAATTTGAAAAATGATTGATTCTAAAATAATATGCTACAGTACAAGTACGTCTGGGTCTCTGTGTTTCATTCAAGCTCGGCTCTGTGTGTGTGTGGAACGAGCCATGTTGTGTGCGTGTGCGAGCGAGAGAGAGAGCGCGCACCAGTACCGGAGATTGTTGTTGTTAGCATCTGGCAGAGGTGGGACCAAGTCATTGTTTTGCAAGTCCGAGTCAAGTCTCAAGTCTTTGCGCTTAAGTCCAAGTCAAGTCTCAAGTCAGGATGGGAAAGTTCAAGTCAAGTCCAAGTCCTAAACTTTGACAAAACGAGTCTTAAACAAGTCATTATGTGCTTTTCACCAAATGTAATGACATCGATCAACAGAATAATACTTAATAATCAAACTGCTCTTTATTAGTCACATTAATACTGTAATAATCTATTTTCTCTCTGCTGGTAAAGTAACGTGTTTTCTTCTATTGTAAGAGGGATCAGTAAGGTAATGCTACCGTGACGGTTTGATTCAGAAGGAGTTTAATGTATAAGATCCCTGATGTTGAGGTAACCAGAATGTTTATTTCCACTGTTATAAGGGACCCACAATCTATCTTTATGCAAGGGATAATGTGCAGCGAGGCGTCTCTATGGGGAAAAGAACACCTGAATCTAGATCCCTCTGCAGGTGGTACTTTAACTATATTTTGATGATAATACTTTTCTACTTTTACTTGTAACATTTTGAATGCAGGACTTTTTATTGTAACCGAGTATTCCTACACTCTGGTACTGTTACTCAAGTACAAGATCTGAACTTCTCCCACCTCTGGCAATAAATCCTGAGTGGTTACCAAAACAAAACCCTGCTCTGAAGGTTATTTTCATTTTACAAATCCTGCACTCAGCTTTGCTTTCTCCAATATCATTGAAATGCAGCCAGATGCTGCTTCTTTTTTCGGTTTTCGCTCATTTCTTGACTTTTTCCGACACGCTTGCATTTAAATCCGGCTCCCCGTCTCCCCGTCGCTCTGTGTAGCTGGCCTGTACCACTACACTTGCTGTCTTTGGAGCGTCTGCCCCCCAGCCTTCTTTCACATAATGGTATGATCCTAGTGTGTCCTCGCATAGGATTGGCCGCATGGTGGCCCAGCTAAATAAAGACCCGCCCCTGCCTGCATGGATTCACAGCAAGAGTTGGAGCGGCTGAAGATTCTGCTCTCCCCGACGGGAGTCTGCTCTTCTGAACGGCAGCTCGCGATCGGCGTGTTGGAGACCTCTGAATTAAATTATCAAGTCACCTCAAGTCAGAGGGCTCAAGTCCAAGTCAAGTCCCGAGTCATTGGTGTTCAAGTCCAAGTCGAGTCGCAAGTGTTTTGTGATTTTGTCAAGTCGAGTCCAAAGTCATCAAATTGGTGACTCGAGTCTGACTCGAGTCCAAGTCATGTGACTCGAGTCCACACCTCTGGCATCTGGTGCTACCTATTTACGCTAATGGATATAAGGAGCTTTTTCTCTGCTCACGGATGAGCATACAAAACTGTTAAGATGATGACCTTACATGTGTAAATATATATTTTTCTTTGAGGGGGTCTGCCCCCAAAAAACAGTTTTAAGTCCTGAGAAAGTCAAATAAGACGGTGTGTAAAACTACACTGCCCAGCCAACAGAAAGTAACCACTTTGATTGAACTAGGCCAGTAGCCCTTATGAAACAAAAATATATTGTAATATATTGGTAAATATAATACAATATATTGGATCATACATTTCCATATATGGGAAAGTAGTCCTTATATTTTTAAATATATTGCAATATATGCATGGACCATGTATGGCTATATATTGATACATATAAAAAAAAAATATTGCAATGAAAACAAAAACTGCACTATACATTTATATGTAATAGTTTTATTGAAACACTCATTTATCTTTCATGAGTTTACATAAAATTGAACAGATATTCATAAACAGTTATCTCACTTCGTTTTGTATAGTTACCCACTTTATATATGAACATATGTTTGATGGTAGCCTACATATAAAAAAAGTACAAATTGTCCATTGAATGATGGAAAATAATATACAGTTTATAAATATATATAGACACACACATATATGCACGCATATATATATGCATATATGCACGCATATATATATTCATATATATATATATATATATATATATAAATATATATATATGCATATATGCACGCATATATATCTATGCATATATTACGGCCGACCGGCTATTTGGAGTGGAACGCAGCCCACCCACGGCAGACAGCCCAAACAGTATTCGAATGCGCCACTTCCGGCTGATTTCGGGGAGCCCCCCCCCCTCTCCAGCAATAGATTGATCTGATTGGCAGATTCAAATCTGCGTTGCTGCCTCTGTCTGTTGATTCTGTCGCTGAGTGTCTCAAGAGAAAGCATTCATCAGGTGCTTCGAAACGGAAAATTAAAAAGAAACGAGAGGAAAATACAGCACCAGAGTCAGGTATGTGTGTGAGCATTTAAAACTATTTTAAATTGAAATAATTCTGCATGTACACTACAAGTAGTCTAGTTGCTTAATCCGTATGTCCCGTCTCTCGGCACTACACCAGCTACATTAGCTAACGTTAGTTAAATTAGCTATGTTAGTTCCCTCGTGTATGAGTGTATAACCGGTCCGCAGCTTTGTGAACATTCAATTTCGAAGATTTTCGATGTTACAGTCAACTGAAGTCGACCCAAAACAGCCAAAAATAGCGGACCTTTAGATCGCTAACATTTTAGCATAAGTCAATGGAGTTTAACATAGCGAAAACTAGCCCCACGGCTAACGGACATTTTCTGACTGGTGACGATGATGAGCTAGTTAAGTAATGTAACCACAGTTAGTCTATGTCTTGTAAATTCCCCTTGTTCTCCTTGATCTGCATTATATCGTTCGTGTTTTAGTCAGGCACATTTAGGGACAGCTAAAGTAGTTCAGCTACGGGTCTTCGAGCTGGTTACACATGTGCGTTCAGGACATTATTGCGCATCGTCACATGCATAATTACCATCGTCACAGAGAGAATGCGTTCGTGAAGAATGTGAGCATATATGCAGATCTTTAGTGTTGGTAATGTTATAAGATTGTATGCATAGTGTCCTGCTCAGTCAGTGTGTTAATGAGTCTTGATGTCCCGTTTTTAGTTTCTATGTTGTTCAGGAATTGAGCTAATGCTAGCTAGTTAGCTAAGTTAAGCTATGATAGTGTGTGGATGAGATGCTAACTTAGCTTTTATTAGCCGTGTGTTTGCAACGTGTCTAATGTGTTTTAGCAACAATTAGTATTGCTGTTGCTTATTATTAATAACCATCGTCTGGTTAGTTATTGTAATTTGAACCTTATTTCTATTTCTGTGTATTTTGCAGAAACCATTCATTCATTCTCTACTCTACGTTAGGCTATGTGTTGTGGACTAATGCATTCAAGTTAGTTCACATTTTAGTTGTTATTGCCCCTGCTGACAATTGTGTGGATAATATGTAGCCTACAGTCAATGGCATTTCACATTTTGCTCTCCAGTGTATGTTATTTTAATGTTGACCCATAATACTATATATCTATATATTTTACAGGAGCATTGTTGAAATTCATAGGTCGAACTAAGCCTGCAGA